ACTATTCTTATTTGGGTTCTAGCTTATATAGTCAAACTTTTTCTTGCTTTCCTCCTCTCATCTCTTTCCTGTCCAGTAATGCCTAATGTAATTTTTCTGTCCAGTTATTTTCCCCAGAATTGCTACTAGTCCATAGAATAGAGTTTTATATACATTTTTGACAAGACCAAAATTCCTTCCCCAAATTGAGTTAGGCACTTAGAGATCCTGAGACAGCTATCTTCTCCAACAGATCTTCCCAAGGGGGAAGACAGAATATTATGTTTTAAAGGTCTGGTTAGATTTAGCTGATCAATTTAACAAAGACAGAGGGAAAGGGAGAACAAGATAGGCAACTTCTCCTACTAATTGCACTAATTACATTTTTCACTGAGAAATTTGTAATAGCTGAATTGGGAAAGTTCTTGCTTCCTTGCTAAGTATTTCTGTCTTTTTTTGCTTCTCAGTGATCACAGTACTGAAGGTGCCAAAAAGTGGAGTCAAGAGTCAGGAAATGACCAAACTTTCACAGAAGCCTGACTAATGAAATAAAGAAAAGCTTTGCTTTCTCTTCTTTTCATTTCTTGTATTAAAGGTATTAACTCTCACAACAATAAATCAAATGAATGAAAACCTGTTCACTTCTTTTTAGTCTTTCTTCTTTCCAGTTCTTCTCCATCAGTGATTAATGATTTTGTTTTAATTTATGATCTCTGGCTCCAAAATAAGATGAGTGAATGGAACCTGAAGGGATATGGAATAATTGCCTTTTTGCCAGCTCTGACACTAGCCATCATTGGCATCAGAGGGAGAGATCCAACTATCCCAGGCACTAAATACTGTATTGAAAGGAATTTACAGAATAGATTCATGTACTTCAGTAAGTGTCCTATCATATTTTTAGATGGAGGTTTCTATTTGAGGGGCAGAACTTGTGGGCTAGAGTGAGGAAGAGACTTATAGTAGAAATGTGAAAAAGCAGGGCATCAGAGTAATTCCCATTTAGTGATCTAGTCCAAAGGTTATCTCTGAAGAGCCAGAGAATTATTGCAAAAAAGTTCACCAATCTGTCTGTGATTCCATAAATAATCAAGCATATCTTTTGTAGGCAGTAAGTTAATATCTTGCCCATAAATGTGTTAATTATTTTTCAAATGTATACAGGTATCATTATGGTATCTAATAACAATGTAATGGTTAATTTAATTGTGGTACATTAACATAATGAAACACTAGAACACAATTAAGATGGGCAGACATGAGAAACACAAAGATATCTGGAAAGATCTCTATGAAATAATACAAAGTTAAAAAATCAGATTGGAGTATACATTAATTATAATTATAGGAGGAAGATAAGTAAGAATGGATTAAACATCCTTACAGGGATTTTCAATTCATATAAGAAACAGGAATTGAAAAATGTTATGATATGCATTGAAATTAACTAATTTAAAGACTTCTGGTTAAGATGGTGATGAGAAAGGTTCTAGGCCAGGGCTGGGGAACCTAGCTCCCCAGAGAAATACCTATTAACAATCAAGATGGCCATATAGGACAACAAAACCAAAGAAAACACTACTGAGCTCCTTCACTCCATAAAGAACAGAATAACCATCATCTAAAGCTAGGACCACTCCAGGGATTTTAGGAGACATCACAAGGCAACTGGGCTAAGGCCAGTATAAAATTAAAAAAAAAACAATGTGAGGCTATGGGTTTATAAACTGCTTAGATTTTTATGTTACTTATGTCACTTCCCCTTTTCTCTTATAAGCCCCAATATTCAGACTAAGAAGCATTCCCTGAGTTCTTAGAGGAGCCTAGCCTCCCTTCTCTTCTCACTCACCAAAAAGGAATTAGCACAAGTCCATGGGCTCCTTCATCTTGTATGTTTACCCATGTAGTATGCATCTAGCATGTAATATATGTGTTCATTGATGCAAATTTTGCTGTATACTTGTTTGTTTGGTTTTTTTTGGTAATTTACTTCCTTTGTATTAGCATCATAAACCTATTGTATTGTTTGTTAATGCTTAATTTGTTAGCAAATTTATATATTTTGTATAGACTATCCATATTATTACATGAATGTAACAGTCATTCTGGTAAGACTTAGACTAGCTGCTTTGCAGGGTTGCGGGGGTGAGAGAAGGAGAGGAGTCTCTAAAAATTGGGAGTTGTATTTTTTTCTAGTTTGGGAAAAGAGGAAGTGATTTATTATTATTATTATTGTTATTTTTATTTTTTTTATAAGAGTCTGAATCATCTGGAGGTGGAAGAATGTGAATTACCAAATTTAATTACAAACCGGGTATATAGACTTTTCTCAAGACTTAGTACAAGGCACGAGGGAAGGCATCCAAAGTGGATAATGAAAAAACCTTCTAAAAACACAAAAGAGCTATACAGCAGAGGTGTCAAACTCACTACCTGGACTTGGCATTTTTGCCAAGTATAGACTAAACCAAATTAAAATGTATTTGTGACGTGTATTAACAAAATAAAAATACAACAGATAGTATTTGTGATTTCCTAAGTCAATATGTGTACCATAAGGATCCATTTCTATTTGAATTTGACACTATTGCTATACAATATATGGCTATCCAGTCTTTACTGAACACACTAAAGTAGATTTTATGGAGATAGCAGATATAACAGAGGAAATTTAAAGGTAAGGTAACTTACTTACTCATTCCCACCCCAGTTTAAGTGATAAGATGCCCAATCAATTTCATATCTTTAGACTAAATGTATAAGTCTTTTAAACTGTAGTGATGTTTTACAAGAATCGTGTTCAGATAGGCTGAGGAACTTTGGCCACATCACAGGATTTTCTATAAATTATCAAGTTAGAGAACCACAATCATTGGAGAGGTAGAAAGAAACACAGCTTTCCAGCACACCTTGGAAGCAGTGACCTATGGAAAAGAAGGGAAATAATGAAAGAAGTCATCAGTTCTACTGGCATCTTAGATCAGAAGACATGGGCTGATGGAAATCTCAATAAAAGTTCTTTTCAACTTTTCCTAGTACTTGTCTATCTACACACTAGAACATAATCTGTGTCATTATCCAAACATTTCTAATGAACTGAAATCTGCTTCAACCACAAAGAGTTGGAGGATTAACTAAATTAACCACACACACACACACACACACACACACACACACACACACACACACACACACACCCACACACACACACACACACACACACACACACACACACACACACACAC